ACAGAGAGAGACAGAGAGAGAGAGAGACAGAGAGAGAGAGAGAGAGAGGCAGGTGGAACTCACAGTTTTGGGCTACACTGGCATTCAGCAAGCCCCAGCAATCCTATTGGTCCCCTCACCCTTAGTGCTGGGGTTACAGGTGTGTGTGGTCATGTCTAGCTTTTTATATGGGTGTTGAGGATCTGAGCTTAAAGAGCACAGTGGCTTCTTTAGCTACCACTTTCCAGATCCCCACCCCTTTTTTAAAAAAAACTTTTGAGCATCTAGGACAGGCTTGGCTCACAGAAAGCAGTCAGCATAGATGTGAATGCCATGGATCCTTTTCCTCCTTGGTCCTCAGTTTGCCTGACTTTGCAGGGTAAACAGGATTTCAGCCTATCCTGGATTAGTCACGCTTACTACATAGATGCTTGGCTTATCTCTTCCAATAAGTTTATAACCCTCTACCTCATTCTTTTATTTTGCTCAGTAATAAATACTGGGCCTTTAGCATGCCCTAAATAAGTATAGACTGGCCGGTCAGACCAAAGGAAGATGGAGTGAAGATGCTATAGCCTGCTGAGGAGACCAAACGGATCTCTCAACAAATTACTAGCTCAGCAAAATAAACAACATTCACCATCAAATTCTCATAGACCTTTTTTTACAGGCTGCTCCTAAAAAACCTTTCTAATATCACTATAAATCAAATTTTGAGTGAGGATCTGTTCAAAAGAATGGGGATGAGAAAGGTTAAGAGCTCTACTCTGAAAATTAGGAAACTTACCAAGGAAAAGGAGGACTAGGAGGAGGAGGGAGGAGGGAAAGGAGGAAGAAATTCCGGAAGTAAGATTAGCAGTAGTAAAAGCAGCAGAAGAATGCATAAATCATTAAATCCCATTAACCATGAAGAAGCAATGGCTAGAATATGACCAACAGCCTTCATGGCCAGACAATGCCAATCTTGAAGTCTTCCACCCTTCTCTGTGAAAGAGAAGGCTGACAGGAGAATGCAGGACCTGTGAGTGTCTATAAGCGACAATACCATAGTCTGTATCTCCACAGGTCTGGATTCAGGGACCCAGGGTGGGGACACTTCAAGACAGAAGTCCCAGCAGGCTCTGCCTCCTGGAAGAACAGGCCAGCTGGGGGCTGGGAGTGGCTGCACCACACCTACCTCCTCCTGCATCCCACAGTCCAGCAGCATCGTCACACACGCTTCAATCGGGAAGGCGATCTCACGACCACTGATCATGAGGTGCTCCTCCAGGGGCTTCCCGAAGGAAGGCTTCTCCACCCAGGCCTCTGAGGGGGATGAGCAAGAAAGGGGTCAGATGGTAGCTCATCAAGGTCATCCATGCATCTCTGTTTCTCCCTTTGTCCAGATACTCCTCAGAGTACCAAAGACAGAGAGGTGCAGGTGAACCTCCATTCTGGGGTTTGGGGGGATGATAGAGAGGCCTGGAGAGGATGGATCGATTAGCAGCTAGCTGAATCTGCCGCTGGGGTTAACATGCCCCACACTGCACATATCTGCACACACCCAATTCATCCCCTCTGAAGGATGGCACGGGTGAACAAGCTCAGCTCAGCTCAGGTAACAGGGTAAATACCAGCTCATGGAGCTCTAGCAGTTCTGCTAAACATGAGCTTAACATGCAAAGGGAGCCTCAAGGTGAACACATTCAGGAAGCTGGTCTCATCCAGGAAAGCAAGCAGACTCCTGGCCCTCCCACTCTGAGGAGAACTCATACTTACCTTGCTGCGCTTTGATTTGAGGCAGCACAGCCTGCAACAGGGTCAGCGACTTCCTGTGGTACTCAGCTTGCACTTCTATTAGCTGAGGAAGCAGAAGGACAGAAGCAGAAGGACAAACATCACCCTTCACCAACAGGTGGGAAAACAGGCTTCTGTGGTTTTCATTCCACCTAAAGGCACTAGCTCAAGGGGAAGCAGGCAGAGCCCCCCTCACCCCTCCTCCAGTCTACAATGAAGAAGTGTGGCAAAGGAGTTGCCCCAAGCAAAAATTTGGGAGGCAGGAGAATCAGGAAGGAATAGGGAGCCTGCCTAAGCTTAGAGAACTTATTTTAGACTACCCAGTACATCCGGCACCCGATTCTCAAAGCAAAAGGCAGCAGAAAGAGGTACTAGGGTGAATATAAATGGAAAATTTGCAGAAATTAATTTGCCTGTAAGACATACACACAGGTTAAATTAGCCTGTAACACTGATTTCTGCAAGTTAGTCGAGGATGTAAATAATCAGAAACAGAGGCTTGATCCACTTTGGATACACCAGGAGGCTAAACGGCTTTGTCTGTAGTAATGTAGCCCCAAGAACAAACTCTTTCAAGGTGTTCTACTGAGTCAACCTACTCATTAAAAAACAGCTCAGGAACAAGAGTGACTTCATTTATTTACTGATTTCCTTTCTTCCAAAGTGGGGAGTGGAGGGAATCATGGTCTAAATAAAAGCCTGGCCTTGAGGGTAAACACTGAAAACACTAGCATGGAACTTTTAAAAAGGAATCTGAATATTGAGTAAACAGCACAGGAAGGGGCAGTAAACAGTCTAACAAACTGTGGAATGCCAGTGATTTTGGTGTTTTAATGATTTTTATTTAAAATAATTTTATGTGTATGAGAGTTTAATCTGCACGTAGGTAAGTGCACCCATGTCATGCAATGCCCATAGAGGCCAGAAGAGGGTGTCAGATCCCCTGGAACTGGAGTTATAGACGGTTGTTAGTTGCCCGTGTGGGTGCCAAACCTGGGTTCTCTGCAAGTGCAGCCAGTACTCTTAATTGCTGAGCCATCTATTCAAAAACAATAAACTGGGTGTGGTGGGGCACACCTCTAATCCCAGCACTCAGAAGGCAGGGGCAGGCGGATCTTTGTGAGATCCAGGACAGTCTGGCTACAGGGAGACCATGTCTCAAATAGACCAACCCCCCCCAAAAAAACTATAAATTGAGTATTTAAAAAATCAAACTAGTCGGGAGTGGTGGCACACGCCTTTAATCCCAGCACTTGGGAGGCAGAGGCAGGTGGATCTTCGTGAGTTCCAGGCCAGCCTGGTCTACACAGCAAGTTCCAGGACAGCTGGGGCTACAGGGAGACCCTGTCTCAAAAAGACAAAAAAAAAAAAAAAAAAAAAAAAAAAAAAAAAATCAAACTAATGGAATATGTTTGAAAATATACTATTTTGAAGACTTTCCACACTGGAAGTGCTCCCTACCAGCTCTTTGGCAGGATGGAAGGGCCACTTCTGACTGTGTGTACAAGTGATAACATGCCAGGAAACTGCTCCTCCTCTCATCACACCACACTATGTCCTTTAAATTTTGCAGAAAGGCTCTCTCTCTCTCTCTCTTCCTCCCTCTTTCCTTATCCCATTATTTCCTTGGTCATACAATAAAATCTTAAAGGTTTCAGTTTTAGCCTCAACTTTCAGAATAGGTGAGCTCAACTGTTTTGCATTTTATATGATTTCACTGTCAATGCTTTACTGATTTTATTTATTTATTTATTTATTTATTTATTTATTTATTTATTTAGCCTCTCACTGGGACTTGAAGCTCACCAATTTGGCTAGGCTGACTGGCCACAAGCCCCACCACCCTCAACCACCTGTCTTTACTTCCTTAGCGCTGGTTTTACAAACATATGCCACCATGCGTGGCTTTTTGCCTTGGCTTGCTTGCCTTCACCCTGGTAAAGAGGCAGGGTCCTAATTATCTGGGTTGGACTGTTTAAGTTTAGGTGACTCATATCCTGTATCTGGACTCTAAATCTGCATTTACTGAAGAGGCAGGCATTGACCCCATCAATTATTGTTTACCTACTTGCCTTGGACTTGACAAAAAAATCTACAATAGAAACAAATATGCCCTTGGGTGGGATGCTTATTCCCCTATTCTTCTCAAATCCCTTGTTGTCACAAATCGTGGTTTCCAAGCATGGGTTCCCCTGACATTTCAGACCAGACACTCTGGTAGAGAGCCGCATGCACTGTGAGCAGCTTAGCATCTTCCTTTGTCTCCACAAACTGGACACCAGTGTAGCTTCCTTCCCCACCCCCAAACCAACTATAGACCCTACCAGTGTCCACTAAGAAAAAAAGAAAAGTCACTCTTAGCCGAAAAAAATCCCTCCATAGGTGACTAAACTGCAGTAATTCTCGGGGGATGGGGTTGCATTTTAAGCACAGGTTTTGAAAGAGAGCTGCACAAGGAATATGGAAGGCAGCGTTTACTCAAGGTAGATCCAGCAAAGCTCCACCCCTTTTCATGATATGTTCATCTAACCATGAGGCCCTCAGTTCTGTACCCATGGTCCCTTCCTATCCATATCATGATGCTCACAGACAGACTTTTAACAGTGTTACTTTGGTAGACCTTACCGTTTGAAAGTAGTTTGCATAGTCAATTTCTTTGGCCACAAAACTGTACATGTCAGCAGAGAGCTGGTCCTGTAGAAGGAAAAAAATATGTAAGTCTGGTAAAACATAAAATATAGGAAGGCTGATGCCAGAGCTCAGCCAGCATGGGAAGAAGGGCTTAAACACTGCTGTGTCTCATTTTCAATGTGGCGTAAGAAACTTTTCCCATGGGGTTGCCAACCATGGTTCTACAGAGAGTGAGTTTGAAAAGTCCACCATCACAGCATTTTCCCCTGAGCTTTAACTCATGGCCCAGTGGGTCCAAGCTGGTGTCAGGGAGTGACATGCAAATAAGCTCTCTTTGTCTCTGAAGCCTGCCCTGCCCTCTGAGTCTAGCTCTAAGTATACACTATGGTCTCCTCCCTCTGCCACTCCCTTTCTTCACCTTCCTGCTCTCCTTCACTCTCAATGACTAGAAGACCAAGGGCACATGGGAAAGAGATGGAAACACAGTAATCTGCAGAAAACCTGGATAGACAGGGCCCACACTGAAAGGACTGCTGTCTTAAAACTCAGCAAATCCTGAACACACCCCATATTACACATAAATCTAATAGCATTAACAACTGTTCACCATTAGGCTCTCTGTAGATCTAGTGGCAAGGACCTAATGCTGCCCTGGAATCTGGAGTGTTTTACCCCATGCTAACGGGTTTTCAGTTCCAGAGAAACAGCCACAGCATCACATAGTAAATGCTCATTTGAGTGGGGTAGACCCTGCTGCCAACAGTATTTTGAGCATGCCACGGCTCTGTGTGGAAGCCGTATGACATCCAGAGGCTGTGATCCTAAAGGAGGCACTCAGTGAGAAAAACACAGCAGCAGCCTTCAAAAGCCAACCCAGAGGCTGAACAAATGGAAGCAGATAGCCCCACACTTCAGAAAGCTGGCTTTACAAGATCTCAGGCAGTTGGCACACATGAGTGCCCTTGGCCTCTCCACTGCTCACTGAGCTGGCTCTCACTGGAAACACAGGGATGGGGAGGCACAGTCACTTCCTTTCCAGGATCCTTGAGGAGTTGCATATACAAGGCAACAGAATCAGGTTACAAAGATAGAGGAGGAAACCTGTCCTCTGAGGATCTCATTAGGACCTCTCATCTGTGTTTGTTTAAATGGGTTAGACCACACTGAGTTTGGTCCAGATACAACGAATGAAGAAAAAGGAAAATGAATTAACAGTCAATCAGAATTGCATAGGTGCTGAGCACAATGCCACACAGGAGTCTCACCCAACTCTTTTAGGTAAGCTCTTCCCCTTCCCTGGAAAATGGCCCTCAAATCTTCTATCACCTGTGTTAGGGTTCCAAACAGCAGCAGTTTCCCGCCTCCCCAACAGGGACCTCACCTTGACCTTTGAAGTCAAGGGAAACAAACTCTGCTGAGAAGCAGCCTGCCTTTCCTCTGATCTCCAAAGATAAGATAAGTAGATTCTACCTGATAACCAGAGATTTTAGAAGTTGTTTATCACAACAGCTTTTCTCTTAAGAGGGAAAAAGTAAACACTTCCAGACCCTAATCCTACCTGCTTTTCCTGCTTCCCCCTC